GCGCTTCGTAGAAAGCTCTTTCTGATGTATTACCTTTAGCAATGTTTTTTCATTAAAAAGTGCTTTCTAATATATTCCCTATAACAACGCTTATATGAAGTGCTTTCTAAACACATCATTTAGCAGCGCTTTGTGGGTATGTGTGGCCTTAAGTAGCGTTTCTTACAATCGCTTTCTAAAGTAAGTCTTTAGCAGCGCTTCTTCTCAAATTTATTTTAAAGTTATAGTAGCGCTTTCTTAGAAAGAGTTGTCTATAGTGCGCTTTGGGCCTATGGCAGCGCTTTCTACTGTTGGGCCTATAGCAGCACTTTCTTTAGTGAACCTAAGACAACGCTTTTTCTTAACTTTAGGCACCGCTTTTTTATAAAGTGCTGTCTAATCTATATTGTTTTAAAATTTATAATTTTATACTGTTGGGCCTATATCAGCGCTTTCTTTAGTGAACCTAAGACAACGCTTTTTTTAACTTTAGGCAGCATTTTATTATAAAGCGATGTCTAATGTATATTGTTTTAAAATTTAAAATTTTATATTGTTGGGCCTATAGCAGCGCTTTCTTTAGTGAACCTAAGACAACACTTTTTCTTAACTTTAGGCAACGCTTTTTTATAAAGCATTGTCTAATGTATATTATTTTAAAATTTAAAATTTTATCGGGACATTTAGCAGCGCTTTGATTCAGAAGCGCTGCCTAAAAGCAGTTTTGGCACAATGAATGTTGATGGGTGGTATTCAAGACATTGCCATATATGATGTGAGAATTGGAAAGTAGGATGTGAGAGTTGTGCTCAGAGTGTGTCGCATTGGGTAATTTTCGAGGATAAAAATATTCTAAGTGGGGAAGAGTTGTAACACCTTATTTAAATTTTTATTCATCTGATGATTAGATTTATAGGACAATGTCGGCTTGACTAAGGAGGTGTAAGAACTTACTATAATTTGATAATTGGAGTAAGCTTTGAATAATAATATAATAATGATAATATTGATGAATGATGAAATATTAATATTATTGTTAATAAAGATATTATTAGATATATGGTATAGTTACCACTAATAATAATATTATTAATGTTATGATGATTATTATTATTACTATTGTTATTATTATTTCCTTTATTATTATTGATTATTATTAGATATAATAAAATATATTTTGAGGGAAGTGGTAGGAAGAGAATTGGAAGAAACAACTGTCACATGAAGAGAAGAGAAGAGAAGTTAGAGCAAAAGAGGTTTCACCGTCGTTGAAGGTTTAAAGCTCCCAACTAAGGTAAGGGGGGAGAATGAGTTCTTTAAATGGTGATTATAACATGAGAGGGTAGTGTGGGTTCGTTTCCTTCTTTAGGTTTTATGTATATATATGATATATATGATTTCTTTTGTTGATTGATAATATGTCTATGTAAACCTATATGGAATGATGATTTAATTGATGTCTATGATGTGTGTTGTTGTTGGTAATTGTTGTTGTGGTGATATTGTTCCATAAAAATCCCAGATCTAGAAAATATAGGTTTAGAAAGATGATGAGCAATAAGGATTTGGATGTAGAAAATTGTTATAGGATGAAACCCATAAGTTATTATGCATAAAAACACTATTCTAGGTCCAATTTGGGAGGCTGAAAGTGAGAAAAACAAACATAAGTCATTTTGGTGCGATATCAGTTTTCTGGAGCACGTTGGCTGGCTGTACGCGTATGATACACGTATAAGGGGATGTCTCAGGGGTTGTACGCGTATGATACATGTGTTGTCCCCAGAAACAGTGTGACCATCTGCTGGTATGCATATGGGAAAGTGTCATACGCGTATACATGAAGCCATACACGCACGGGAGTTGTCTGAGTAAGTTGAGAGGAAAAATGTCTCTAGTGGTACGCGTATGATACGAGTATGGAGTGAAACTGTTTTGGCCTTACGAATTTGATACACATATGAGAAGGGCGGGGGAAAAGCCGTAAGCGTATGGTACACATATAGGCAGGCTGATGTGCAGATTTGTCCGTTTTCGTAATTTCTTTCCCGTTTTCGCGTGCAATGTAGTTTCTTTGGTCCGTAATGACTAGTATGACTCAGATGGATATAAGAAGGTTGTAATAATGCAATTTAGTGGGAATTTTGTATGGTGTTGATGTTGAGTGAGGTGACCGAACATGTGGTTGTTGTACGAATGATATATGAAGGAATTACTTAAGAGTTTGTTGTTGTAAATGTTGTTGCTATTGAATATACATGATAAATTGATAATATGATTAGTTGTTGAGATTCTATGATATTATGTTGTGATGCTATGATGTTATGCTGTGTAATATTGTTGTTGTTGAATGTTCATGATGGATTGATAATATGCGTAGTAGACTGTGATACTATGACATTATGTTGAAATATTGTTGTAATATTTAATGAAGGGTGATACGATGATGTTGCATTATTGGATGTATGTAAATATGTTGTTACTATTTGTTATTGATATCGTTGCATGGATGGTGAGGGCTTATGCTTTGTTGGAGGCCTTTATTGGTAAGATGTTGTGGGCTTATATCCTGTAGTTTGTATATTTACGTTGTTGCATGTTGGTGTTGCATGAATTCATTGGTGAGGGCTTATGCCATATTGTTGACCTGTAATAGCGTTATGTTAAGGGCTTATGCCCTATTGTTGTCCTATATGACATTATGTTGAGGGCTCATGCCTTAATGATACCACATGCATTTAGTTGTTGTCGATTGCATTTGCATTGCACTATCTGGATTTGATGTTGTGTGATATGAATGAAGAATGTGTTATGAAGTATTGTGTGAAATGTGCATTTTGTGAATCATGTGAATTGTGTGAAATACTATTCCTTAGCATGTGATATTAATTGTGTATTTATTGAATGTGATTCTCACCCCTTTTCGGTTGTGTGTCTGTGCTCCTCCGGAGACACAGATAAACAAGTACCTGTGTAGTGCTTGGAGTGAGTGTTGCTTGATCGAGTGTTAGGACTTGCTCAGATACGTAACACAAGATTTGGAAATTTGCTATGTTTTTGTATTGTTTTATGTGTTACATATCTTATCTTTATATTTATGTTGAACCATAAGTTTTGTAGAGAATGTTGTCATTTAAGGTGTAGTGCTATGAAAATGAATATTTGATATTTCTATTGTGTAAATGATTCTTCTATGAGAAATGAAGTAATAAAATGATTTGAAATTTTATTAGTTTTTGAAAGATGTGACATCCCAATTGTGGACTTTGATTTATATTCCGTATGTTTCATTATAATTATATAATTGGGAAAGTGGTGTGTTACATGCACATCCAAAATCACTTGCAGACAACCATTTTCAGAGTTTCTTCTTCTAGCCTTAAATCATTCCAAAAACCTTATTTTATAAAAAAAACACCAATATTTAAATACTCTAACATCGACCTACACAACGTAATTGATTCTAATTAACCTAATAATTTATTATAGGATTGCAAAGTGAATCAAATAAAAATGGAGAAAACTTCCATAAATTTGAAGTTTGAAAATGAGTTGGAATTAGTTGAAATGAGTTTTAGAGTAAAAATGAGTTGAAATGAGTGAAATTTTAAGTTTGAGTAGAAATTATGTAGGGCTCGTTTTTGATTTGTAAACAAATGAGTTCTGAAGCATGAAAATGATTTATTCGTGCCAGTGAAAACAATTAAATGACTTCGATATACACATTCAAAATATTAAATTATAAAGTTGATTCGAATATGCACATGCGAAGTCACATTTTTTGACAAATATGATAAATTCGAATATGTACATCGGAATTCTAAGAGTAATTTAAAATTTCCGCAAGAAACTAAAAAAAAAAAAAAAACATAGAGATGTGGAAAAAAATTCTGTCAACTTCCCACTGCATGGAAAAGTAAAGAAAGGAATAAAAAAGACTAGCCCCTTTAATTATTATTATTAGTTTTTTGGTCAAGTTATTTTATTTTATTTTATTATACTTTATATTGATGCGTCACATGATAATAATGACCTATGAAGATTGAAAAAGACAATCACAAACAAACATTAGATCTTAGACTATATTAACACTAAATAACACTAGTGTTGTATAAAATAAACAAGTATGAGCAATGAAAGGGTTCAGCTTACATATGAGAACTCTGATGTTGACGTAAAAAATATTGTCACATGTCTATATATGTATTAATTCTAAATCTTCAAAATGATCTTTTTAAATGAAAATAGAGATTAAAAGTAAACATTTTTTAGAAATTAAATTAAAATTTGTGATTTTGTAAAGATAAAAAAATACATTTAATTATTCATACTTCTCCTGTTTTTATTAAAAATTGTAAAAAAAATATATATTATAAGTCATTTTACTATATTAATAAATAATTAATTTATTTTTTTAATACATTCATAAATATTTTTTTAGTTATTTATATTTATATTTCTCATTCTATTAATGAATAGTAATTTTGTATAATCTTTCATAATTTATCTTTTTATATGATAATTATTTTATTTTTTAATATTTGCGAAAATTTTGAAATAATTTTGTAATAAAAAAATAGAAAGAGTAAATGGTATTTGAAAAGTAAATTTTAGGACTCTAATTAATTTTAAAATTTAAATTATCTAAATGTTACTATCTTATATACAAACTAATAAATCATTTTTAGGCATGCAACTATCAGATCACATACGCTAAAAATTAAATAAAATTCATAATCTCAATATATATCATAATTTGTTTTAATATATATCCATAAATATCTATTTGTCCTCAATTTCTCTTTATATAATAAAAAAACAACACAAACCAGAATATGTTAGAACAATGGCAACTTATTCTATCTTCCATTTCCAATATCCTTTTTTTTTCTTCCAAGCACTTACTCATTCAATCAACCAAAACTCAAACTCCAATATTGTAATCCATTAATCAATTCACAAAAAAAGTCCAAACAACCAGCTTTCACACAAACAAGTTATTCTTCTCTTTCTCTCTCTAAATGGCTACTGTAGCAGACATTGGTGTTTCAGCTGCTATCAACATACTATTAGCTTTTGCATTCTTGATAGCATTTGCTTTACTCAGAATTCAACCCATCAATGATAGAATTTATTTCCCAAAATGGTATATCACTGGTGGAAGAACCAATCCAAGAAGTTCTGGAAATTTTGTTGGAAAATTTGTCAATCTTAATTTCAAGACTTATTTGACTTTTCTCAACTGGATGCCACAAGCTTTGAGAATGACTGAGACTGAGATCATTAATCATGCTGGTCTTGATTCTGCTGTTTTTCTCAGAATTTATGCTCTTGGGTACTCTTATACCTTTTTTTTATCATAAAGTTTCAATTGTATCACTCTATGTTGCATGTGATCTATTGCTGCATTTTCTTCTTCCCTCAATTTCTTTTTTGTTTCATGATATGAAGCACAAACTCCTAGACAGATACCGTGACACAATACGACATAGACACTCTAATGTCAATAATATCAAAAATATTGGATACCGACACCACTATCTATATGATGGGATTTAAGCTTCATTTATCTATCTATTATTAAAACATAGTTAAAAATATTCTAATAAAAATTAACATATTTAATTTTTCATGGATAATATTCTTTCAATACTTGTCCAAGCTATGTTGAAAACCATTTTTTCTTGGGAGAAACTTGTAATAATTGTTCAACACGTGTATGAGTGTCATACGAGTGTCCGACACCGATTTAAAGAGTATTGAAACAATGCAAATTTTTATTTTCTTGGGAGACACTTCTTTGACTTTTCCAACATTTGTCTGACTTTTTTCGACACGTGTCATACAGATGTCATACAAATGTCGAAAACTGACACGTGTCGGATACCGCGATACACTTACTCTTAAAAAGTGTCCGTGCTTCATAGGTTTCATGTGTGTGAGTTTTGTTGTTGCATGTGAGACTTGCAATATTTCCAACTATGGTATTGGGCATGAATTTGGTTATGTGGGGACAAAAATAAATTTTGACTGAATTAATGTTGATAAAATTGATTTTGGTTGAAAGTGAGTTGAACAGAAAGATGACTTGCTGAACAAGTCATCTTAGTTAGTTAGTTAGAAGCTTTACAAGTTAGTTAGAGAATTAGTTTATGATACTTTCATAAGAATAAGATTCTTTTTAATCAATTGTTTTGACCATTCTGCTAGTTTTTATGTCTTATGCTTCAGCTTAAAGATTTTTATTCCAGTGACAATTGTGGCACTCTTTATTCTTATTCCAGTCAATGTTTCAAGTGGGACACTATTTTTCCTTAGAAGAGAATTGGTAGTGAGTGATATTGATAAACTCTCCATATCAAATGTTCCACCTAAATCTTTAAGGTATGGATAATTCACCATATTCCAAGTTGGTTCTTTCAAACTCTTCCTTTTGTGTTTATGTCTAATAGCTGCAATTGTTTATTTCAGATTTTTTGTTCACATAGGATT